AAACTTCCGCCCTTTGGGTAGATGTTCCGGTAGACCTCAGTCTGTCATAATTGTCAAGGTTGTTATTGTCCTAGATAGTTATTGTCCTAAGTGGTAATTGCCCCAGGTGGTAATTGTCCTAGGTGGTAATAGTCCTAGGTAGTTATTGACCAAGGTAGAAATTGTCCTAGGTAGTTATTGTCCTAGGTGGCAATTGTCCAGGCTGTAATAGTCCTAGGTGGCAATTGTCCAGGCTGTAACGGTCCTAGGTGGCCATTGTCCAGGCTGTAATGGTCCTAGGTGGCCATTGTCCAGGCTGTAATGGTCCTAGGTGGCCATTGTCCAGGCTGTAATGGTCCTAGGCGGCAATTATCCAGGCTGTAATGGTCCTAGGTGGCCATTGTCCAGGCTGTAATGGTCCTAGGTGGCCATTGTCCAGGCTGTAATGGTCCTAGGTGGCCATTGTCCAGGCTGTAATGGTCCTAGGCGGCAATTGTCCAGGCTGTAGTGATCCTAGGTGGCCATTGTCCAGGCTGTAATGGTCCTAGGTGGCAATTGTCCAGGCTGTAGTGATCCTAGGTGGCCATTGTCCAGGCTGTAATGGTTCTAGGGGGCAACTGTCCAGGCTGTAATGGTCCTAGGCGGCAATTGTCCAGGCTGTAATGGTCCTAGGTGGCCATTGTCCAGGAGAATGTCCGCAGACAAAATGATGTTTTAAGTTACTCATAAAGGCTTGGTGAATTCAAGGGTGGCTTAAGACTGGGCACACATAAACTCACATTCCGGCAGCTTGAGAAACCATCTTGAAATGGATTTGAAGGTGTCATGAAACAGCTCCTCAAACAGTTACCTACATCTGAAGTCATGGGTGCTGTGTTATTTACACTCATCTCACCATTTCAACTGCTGAGAAACTCATTGCGTTGCAGTATATTTGCATTCTGTGGATATCAAGCAATATTTTCCACTTTTCATTTGTTCAAGGGCAGCAACTTTGTAAACCAATTAAAAGAAGTTTTGTTTTGTGTGGTAAAATAAGTCCCCAGCATGATGTTTTTTCCCCCAACGGAAAGACATTATCGTGAGCATGTAACACCGGAAATACCATGTCAACAAATCCATACTGAAGTGTGCAAATTAATCATGTAATGTCATGGTTATGTTCTTTGTATATCTGGACTTATGTTTGTAACTTATTTCATTAATTATTTTCAAAATTCCTAATTAATTAATTTCTACGAAATCGTGTGTGAAACGATCAGAAGATCGCACAACTCACTGTTATTAACCGCAACCACGGTCAGATTACCGCTATTGACGCCTTGTAAAACTATTGACAGAGAATGGATACATGTATCACAACTACCATACCGTGACCTGTTGCTTGTCAGTGTTCCCGATGATTGGATTAGGTGATGTCTAAATATACTACTCAAAAGAAGTTAAGGATCACCTGATTCTTTCATATTGGTAATGTTAATCTGTCATGGCATGAGAGATTAACTATTGTAATATGAAAGAATCAGGTGATCCTTAACTTCTTTTGAGTCGTATATCAGTAGGGATTCCAGGTTATAACACAACTCAACATTAACAATGAGTAAAAATCATTGTCGATACCCATTGTTCTAAACAGGAAGTACTGGTAATCAGAAGGTTAAGTTGAAAATATCAGCAAATATTGCTGTGGGCACTTAATAAAGCAGGGCGCTTATTACATCAAACACGGTAGGTCCCCAGAAGACTATGCTGGTTATGAGAGGTAACTTTTGGAATTGGATGGTCAGGCTTGGTGGATTGCGTTGATTGTGCCTATATCACTGGATTGTCTGACCCAGACTTGATTATTACAGGCTGCCAACATATAGCTGGAATATTGCTGAGTGCGGCGTTAAACAAAACAAGAAAACACTATTACTTTATTACTCACTCACTTGTTTTGGCGTCCCGTAAAGGTTTCCGTCTTCAGCAACCCATGCTTGCCGTAAAAGGCGACTATGCTTGTCGTAAAAGGCGACTAAAGGGATCGGGTGGTCAGGCTCGCTGACTTGGTTGATGCATGTCATCGATCCGAATTGCGTGGATCGATGCTCATGACATTAATCACTGGATTGTCTGGTCCAGATTCGATTATTTACAGACCGCCGTCATATAGCTGGAATATTGTTGAGTGCGACGTAAAACAACAAACCAACCAACAACCAACTTATTTTGGCAGATATTACTAGAATCCATGACCTGGCTGATTACATCACCACTCACTGGTTTGCTGTCTCCATGGTAACTTCCATTCACAAGACATTGTTAATTAGTGTCATCAGGCTCGTTGACTTGGTTGATGAATGTCATCATATCCCAATTGCGGGATCAATGCTCATGATGTCAATCACTGGCTTTGAACAACAAAAAAACAAACAAAACATTCATTGGTGATCACTTACAACAAAGGAATAAAAGGGATAAATCTTTATTCAAATGAACAAGGTAAAATGTAGAAATATACTTCATGTAAGGGGATCAGAATACATAAAATACAAAAAAAACAACTAAAAGGAATATCTTGTACATGTACAAGTATGAAATATAATTTAGGCCACAAAAAAATGCTGAACAGAATTGCTGCAAACCTTTTTCTAAAACAAACTGACATCTTTGAGATCTTACGCAGTACTTGTTTTCTAGTTTGAAACTGCAAAGCAAGCTCCAATTACAAAAAATCTTCTCTATCATTTCTGATGAACTACTTAAATATTCATGGACAATCATTTGGTTGTTACTAATTTGACTTCAATATTGATTGCCTTCATGGAGGTATAAACTTAAAAACTGGTATGAACACTGATTTTTAGATTTATACCTCCATAAACGCAAAAACATAACAAAGAGTGAGTGAGTGAGTTTGATTTTACGCCGCTTTTAGCAATATTCCAGCAATATCACGGCGGGGAACACCAGAAATTGGCTTCACACATTGTACCCATGTCGGGAATCGAACCCGGGTCTTCGACGTGACGAGCGAACGCTTTAACCACTAGGCTACCGACCGCCCCACATATCAAAGAAGATTCTTATAAATATATATATAGGTCAACAATGATAACTTCACAGACTGCTCATATAATCATCAACATAAAAAATCAGAGACATGCAACTTATCAGCAAATCAGGAAACAATAGTCTATTTTAGGGCAGGGCTATTTTGTTATAAACAGAAAAAAACTTGCTTGGATAGTCCATCAAAATGCCATGGAATCACTTGCAATTCATTATCATAAAAATTGGACACTTTAAGAAAAACGCAAGAGGAAAATGTTGCTATTTTTACAAAAAATATAATCATCCAGTGTCCTGTCATGTATATATCTTAAATATATCCCTGATATACAAGTACTTAAATACCAGTAAAATATATCATGTCTTGCTGGGGACTCCATACATTGGCAGATTCTGTGTGTGTCAATACTTCGTGCAGTGGTGGAGCCTTGGGAGGCAACTCGTTGATGATTCACTACAGAATAGCAGGCAGCAGAAATAAAAGATACAATCAGTGGGAAGTCAATGAAGACACCGAATAAAACAATGATTGCACTAAGCCCTTATTTACAAGACTGGCCATTGATAAATAACATTTCATAATAAAAATAAATAATGTATAATATTGGACTATTTCATCAGAGAAAAGTGACTATACATACATGTGCATATGAGACATGACATGATAAAAAATGCAAGAATACCAATGAAATGTTTCACGGAAAGTTTGCAAAAGAGTTCTAGATCCTTAATCTCGCCAATTACATTGCGGAACTATTAGGATTCCAGCTCTGAATAAATATCTAAAAGCCCCCGCTATTCCTTAATTAATGTTTAATTTAAATTAATTATTGTTTAATGTTTTTAGGCGTTTTAACTTTTTTACAATATTGAAATGACCCTCTAATTAATCTTGAAACATTTTTGTAATTATTTGGCCTCCTGAAACTCAAGAAAATCAGATGAACAAGAAGTGACTTTGGTCTGGTTTTAGTATGTTTATTTGTTCGTTATTTAACGCTGCACCCAGCAATATTCCAGCTATATTATGACAGCCTGTGATTGACATTGTGAGCAATGATCCGCACGATGGTACGATGACATGCAATAGATCAAGTCACCAAGCCTGACCACCAAGCTCCTTCCCATCACGTGACACCTTCGTTACACCCTCGGTAACATCGCTGCCACCAGTGTGGGCGCGGCCATTACAAGAATCTTGAAATTTGCCCTCTTACCCATATGTAGTAACGTTCATACTTTTGTTTATTTCTTTAGGAATGCCATCATATTTCATTTTGAAAAGGTTTACGACTGACCATGTTTTCCAGATGAATTTACTTTGTTGTTTTAATAACCAGATTGGTTCGAGATTGCAGACTAACTGAAAATCAACCAACTTCTCCCTTACACTCTAACTAAATCAATTAAAGATTATACTTTTAATGAAATAGAAATTCAAATTGACAAACAAAGAAAGTAATTTATCAGCGGTAAGTGTATTCAGCCTTACGACAGTCATCACTTGTTTGTAAACATAACGGTCATTCGGTTGCGAGGTCAACTCCAAGCATGGTTGGGGCCACCTATCACAGTGGGGAGTTTTGACTTGTGGCAGCGATAGTATAGAGAGCTCCGCAAACGGACTATCGCTGTGAGGAGCTTGCCTGACCACCAGATCCAATGGTCGCCACTTATGACCAGCATAGGCTCCTAGGGACCAAATCTTACCTGGAATCCCCACGGTGGTGTTTTAAGTATGCAGTAGTGTAATCAGCCAAGTCTCCTTCCAAACTAAGGAGTGAGTGAGTGAGTTGGGTTTTCCAGTTGTATTCCGCTTAATATTGGAGGAAAGCCCGAAGTGATGCAGGTCTCAGACCTTTACCACTTCAGGTGAAACCCACGAGTACGGGTATGGTGCTGACAAACCTAGAAACATAATCGGGGATTTGAACCCACAATCATAGGTTTCTGGCTTGCCCAAGGGACGCAACTCTGCACATCAAATCCCAGCGCCTTGGACCACTGGGCCACCTGTGCCCCCTACAAACTAAGTAAGTAATGACCATAATCTCTTCAAAACTATTTAGAACCCTGCAAAGAATGTTTAAGAATGTGAACATTGTTCGACTAAGCTCTTGTTCATATATCTATCAATGATACAGCTATAGCAATATTCAAGCAATGTCTTGGGGCACCAAGACTCAACTCATTGTTCATATGTTGGGAATGAAACTCATGTCTCAACCACTAGGCTAGCCCACAGTCCACTAAAAATATAAGTATTGCAAGTCTTCAAGAACTGCCATCTGATTTGGCCAAGAGAGAGCGAAATTAGTTTAATGCAGAGATGACACGCAATCGACCAAGCCTGACCACCCGCATCTTCCCGAGGCAAGGGAGGTAACTGACTGTAAAAGTCCAGGTTCCACCCTTGCCGAACTAGGCTGGAATTTCTGGGCTCGATCATAACGAGTTTATAACGATATTATGAGTTACGGCCCTTCTATGTCCCCACTATTGACCAATCAGATTCCACCTCTCATATCACTTGCATTTGCTTCAAACAAAATGGTGGTGCACAGTCAAGAAGGTCTGATTGATAATCAAAATACACAATCGATGTAAAAATCGTTCTTACGTTGCGATTGCGAAGTGCATCAAATCGATGTCAAGTACAGTACACATGCTTTGCAAATCCTGCAATCGGTCGAAATCTGCATGTTAGTTGACGAACCGGATGTCGATTCCCATACGCAAGTTTGAATGGACTATGCATAGACTCGTTAATTCAGCTACATTGTAACTCCATAATTCCAGCCTAGTCAGTTAGCTAACTCCCTAGCCTTGAGAAGATGGACACCCATGTAGTCACCTCTTTCAACCGGCATAGGCAATCTCAATGAAATCACAATTTTTACTCTGATACGATACCTCACTGTGGATAGCTCTCAGGACACCTCCATTGAAGGTTGTGCACCCTGAGCAACCTTTGACTGACCAATCAAGAGGAAGGGTGCGTGGGTGCCTGAGCCAATCAGATGTGAACTTTCTAAATCAGTTTGATTTCATATCTTTACGCCATTTTTGGAAATTTTGAATTTGTCCAAAAGAAAACTTACGCAGAACACCAATATTCCTTCAATTGTACATCCCTATTGGGTGGAGACACTGGTGATGAGTAAAGACAGAGTGTATATATCCATAATATAATTTGACAGACTTAAATATCTACAACTATATTTGTTCTAGTTTATTTTCGAGTTACAGAAATCAGATGAGCTGATTGAAGATTTGAAACTGATTAGAAGCCTCATTTCTGACACAGCTTCCCAAGAAAATGTCAGATTTTCATGCAGAGAGGTATCGCATTGGAATAAAAGATCTGATTATAATAAGATTGAGAATGGGTTGCTGGTGACCTACTGTAACCCCTGTCCCCACGGTCCAGATTTCGCCCATGGTCCAGAATTTGAATGATTCAGACGTCCCAAACCATGGTCCCTGCTGAGTCGATTATAGACCTGGGAGACATGTTTCTTTAGTTGCCCCCTCCCTTTATAACATTAGGTATAAAAACTTACCAGCCTGCCTAGCGAGAATATGTCAAAAATATATAGCAATAACTTGCTTCTACAGAATGTGTTACATTTTGCAATGAAATCCAAGACTTGTTCCTGACTGCTTTGCACTGCAACACCTGAAAGATGCATACAAATGCACTCTGATCTATTTAAACAATTTAGCCTAAATCACCCTGCTTTTACTGTCCTTTGCTAAATCTGATTAGTTTCTCACATCCACACCAATTCATTTTCATGTTTATGAGTGAGTGAGTATGGTTTTAGCCACTTTTAGCAATATTCCAGCAATATCACGATGAGGGTCACAAAGAAATGGGCTTCACACATTGTACCCAAGTCAGGAATCGAACCTGGGCCTTCGGCGTGACGAGCGAACGCTTCAACCACTAGGCTACCCAACCGCCCTCATGTTTTATGATAAAATCTACCCTAATTATTGCAAAAGTACAAAAATACATACCTAGTATAATGACAATGCTGTGTTGTTTACAAAATCTTATTTCAAAGAAATAGAAAGAAAAGAAGTAAAATTAATCCTGAAATTCTGTTCTTAGTGTTGCCTGATGTTTTATGTCACTATAACTAAGAATGTCTGTCAAACAAAAACATTTAGATGCTCAGGATTCCTGCAATATAAGTCAAGACACTGAAAGTGTGAGCACAGTCCGCTCCACTGGTTATGATGATAAACAATCAGCCTCATGCCTGAACCTTAGACAAGCATGAGGTATCTATTCTGACATGGAATCCGCACATGGTTCCAATGACTTGACGATAAGTACCACAGACAGGTATTTGCTCTATGTGCAGGAGTTCTTAGCATATTCATGACTAAATCCCCATCTAGCCTCAAAGCATGGTTCGGCCCATGAATATATATGAAATTAGGTAAAAGGTTTAGTTCTCTGTCACTAAATTTGTGACCATCTTACAAGACTCTCCCTCAACAAGTTCTTAATCTTATGCCTTAGAACAGATCCATTCAAACTGAAGGTGTTCTTTAACCCAACAATGGCTCTGGAGCTTCAGTCCAGTAAGTCTCCAGTGGATTCAATGGACATCCTGAGAGAACATCCCAGCAAAACTCTGGGACAGTCTTCACCTAAGAATCAGACTTCAATTCAATGCAACGACTTCAAACAGAACCAAGGAACTTCATGATCCTTGCTCCAAACATATGAAGCCAAGGAGCTTCACACTGCAACTTCAGAGATCCTACTCCCAACAACGTTTCACAGTGTTCTTACATACCAGATCAGAGATCCTACTCCCAACAATGTATCACTGTGTTCTAACCCACCAGATCAGAGACACAACTCCCAACAATGTATCACTGTGTTCTAACCCACCAGATCAGAGACACAACTCCCAACAATGTATCACTGTGTTCTAACCCACCAGATCACAGACTTAACTCCCAACAATGTATCACTGTGTTCTTACACACCAGATCAGAGACACAACTCCCAACAATGTATCACTGTGTTCTAACCCACCAGATCACAGACTTAACTCCCAACAATGTATCACTGTGTTCTTACACACCAGATCAGAGACACAACTCCCAACAATGTATCACTGTGTTCTAACCCACCAGATCACAGACTTAACTCCCAACAATGTATCACTGTGTTCTAACCCACCAGATCAGAGACACAACTCCCAACAATGTATCACTGTGTTCTAACCCACCAGATCAGAGACCTAACTCCAAACAATGTATCACTGTGTTCTAACCCACCAGATCAGAGACCCAACTCCCAACAATGTATGACTGTGTTCTAACCCGCCAGATCAGAGACACAACTCCCAACAATGTATCACTGTGTTCTAACCCAACGGATCAGAGACACAACTCCGAACAATGTATCACTGTGTTCTAACCCACCAGATCAGAGACACAACTCCCAACAATGTATCACTGTGTTCTAACCCGCCAGATCAGAGACCCAACTCCCAACAATATTTCACTGTGTTCTAACCCACCAGATCAGAGATCAGAGACCCAACTCCCAACAATGTATTACTGTGTTCTAACCCACCAGATCAGAGACCCAACTCCTAACAACGTATCACTGTGTTCTTACACACCAGATCAGAGACACAACTCCCAACAATGTATCACTGTGTTCTAACCCACCAGATCAGAGACCTAACTCCTAACAACGTATCACTGTGTTCTAACCCACCAGATCAGAGACCTAACTCCTAACAACGTATCACTGTGTTCTTACACACCAGATCAGAGACACAACTCTAAACAATGTACCAATACCTCCCTGGCCCAAGGTGCTTCAACCCTCCTGATCAAAGCACCTAGTCCCAACAATGTCCCAAGGTGCTTCAACACTCCAGATCAGACATCAGAGTCCCAACAATGTCAAAATATCAGACACCCTACTCCCAACAATGTCCCAAGGTGCTTCGACCCACCAGATCGGACATCAGTCCCAACAATGTCCCAATATCAGACACCTTACTCCAAACACTATCCCAATGTCAGACACCCTACTCCCAACAATGTCCCAAGGTGCTTCAACACTCCAGATCGGACATCAGAGTCCCAACAATGTCCCAATATCAGAGACCCAAGGTTACAGTGAACATCTTCACAGGACCTCCCTGTGTCCAGCACCACCTGTATTCCCTCTCACCCAGATGAATAAAGCCTCCAGCTCCACCCATCCTCATTCCAACTCAATGTCCGTCCTGCCCATCTCGTCCAGCAACTGGCAACAGATGTTCAAGATGCCCTCCCTGTTGGCGGCCCTCATGACCTCATTACAACCAGGGAAGGCGTAAGCCTCTGGCAACAGACTGCATCTCTGAAGCGTTGGAATGTTTGCACAATCCTCAAGCATCTCCCGAAGATCCGGCAGCGGAGGCGGTGTAAAGGCCTGGAGTCCAATAATCTTCAAATGAGAACAGTCAACACATCTTCGGGTGACCTGTTTCAAAGCAATGGGGGAGAAACAGCAATAAGAGACCGAGAAACAGGCAATTTTAGGCATCTTTTGGAGGAAGCCGACAGTCAGTAAAGCAACCGCTTTGAGATTGTTCCGGCTGAGGTTGAGCTCCTGCAGGCCTTCAATGGGCTGCCACTGGTACAGGAACTGCATGTCCATCGTGGTGAGGCGGCAGTCCCGCAGGTTCAGGTAGATGAGGGGCATTGCCAGGTTGCTCAGGAGGGTGTCCAGGTTGTCCCGGAGAGTACACGAGGAGAAGTTGAGTTTGCGGAGCTGGTTCATCTGCTGTAGGGTCTGGTTGAGCTCGTAGGCTGCGTTGCCATGGAGATTGGTATGTAAGCTGTTGTGGAGGCTCAAGGCTTGTAAGCCTGGCAGCAGCAAGAGGCCCTCAAGGACAAGGTCAAACTTTGTCAGGTCAGAGCATAAGTTCTCGTCCGTCAACTCGAAGTGGGTGATGTGCTGGAACAGAACGTAGATACAGATCAGCCACACTTTTTATTTTAGAGTCTACAGATTTTTTTTTATAACAAATGGATTAGTTGACATGAAAACCTATTTAAGAAGCTCAATATTTTTATTTATTATTTTATAGATAAAATTATTAGGGTTAGTTGGTTTAGTGGGAATGAATAAATGCTGATATTGTTTTTAGTGCCGTATGTTTAATATTATCAAAATAATATGTACACATATATACTCCAGAAGAGGAGAGATACACATACAATGCATATAATTCTTTTCTAATGAGATAGATAAGGATAAAATGTGTCAAAAAGACCTATTTTAGTGATTTCCATTAAGTATTTTTCCAATATTTGAACATGAGCTAGTCTCTGACCCAAGTTGATTTTCATTTTACTTAAAAACAGTACACACATATGGCAAAAAATTAATCTTGGGTCACGGACTAGCTCATACTTATATGCTCCTTTGAAGTGCTTTTTCTCTCATTATGTGGTATTTGACCATTGCAAAAGTCCAAAACATTTTTTACATGTCTGAAAATGTTCATACAACAGGTCAATCTTCATATTTGATATTTCCAGTGGGTTAAAAAGGGCCCTTCTCCTACCCCTTCCTTTACTTTTCTACAAATTTTGAATTACAACAGCGCCATGCTTCGCTAGAACTATTTACCCGAGGATCTAGCACCCTGTTGATGACATTCGGGGGCAGCACCACCTCCAGGATGGGCTCCATCCACAGTCTCTTGCAGGCGAACCTGAACGGGGTCTCGTACTGCAGCGCCAGGCCAATCGGCACATCGTCCAGGGTTATCTTGCAGTCAATCAGGATGGTTATAGGACCTGGAGAAGATGGAGTGAGTGAGTGGCGAGTGAGTGAGTGAGTGAGTGAGTGAGTGTCTGAATGAGTGAGTGTGTGAGTGAGTGTGTTAGTGGGTGAGTGAGTGAGTGCATGAATGAGTGTGTGAGTTGGCGTGTGAGTGAGTGTGAGTGAGTGAGCGTCTGAGTGTGTGAGTGAGTGAGTGAGTGTCTGAGTGTGTGTATGAGTGAGTGTGTGAGTTGGTGAGTGAGTGTGTTAGTGGGTGAGTGAGTGAGTGGGTGAGTTGGCGTGTGAGTGAGTGAGTGAGTCTGAGTGTGTGAGTGAGTGCGTGAATGAGTTGGCGTGTGAGTGAGTGAGTGAGTGCGTGAATGAGTGGGTGAGTTGGCGTGTGAGTGAGTGTGTGAGTGAGTGAGTGTCTGAGTGTCTGAGTGGGTGAGTGAATGAGTGAGCAAGTGAGCGAGTACATGTTTGTATGCACTACATACCACCATTCCTCGTGAAGACATTGGGCAGATGTGCAGAGTCTTGTCTAAGTTTAGCCAGGTAATGGAATGAGGCACGTATTGCATCCTAACAATGTTTTATTCAGCACTTACACAGAAAGCCTCGGGGACTGCAGAGATATTCTGGAGGGTGGGTAGCGCAGTGCACAGGGTGCTGAGTGGTTAGGGGCTCACCATGTAATACTCTGGAGGGTGGGTAGCGCGGTGCACAGTGTGCTGAGTGGTTAGGGGATCACCATGTAATATTCTGGAGGGTGGGTAGCGCGGTGCACAGTGTGCTGAGTGGTTAGGGGCTCACCATGTAATATTCTGGAGGGTGGGTAGCGCGGTGCACAGTGTGCTGAGTGGTTAGGGGCTCACCATGTAATACTCTGGAGGGTGGGTAGCGCGGTGCACAGTGTGCTGAGTGGTTAGGGGCTCACCATGTAATATACTGGATGGCGGGTAGTGCAGTGCACAGGGTGCTGAGTGGTTAGGGGCTCACCATGTAATATACTGGAGGGCGGGTAGTGCAGTGCACAGTGTGCTGAGTGGTTAGGGGCTCACCATGTAATATACCGTATATGACCGCGTATAAGCCGAATTTTGAGGACCAGAAAAAAGATTCTGTAGAAAGGGGTCGGCTTATCCACGGGATACACTTTCATGATAGTATTTTTCAGATCGTGATCTGTCAGAAACATCGCCTGAATGACGGTCCGATAGATTACAACTTCCCGAAAGTTTGGAAGTTGCCACGACTAGAGCCATTTTTGTTATAAATTATCAATAAAGTTATTATTATACACCAATGTTGTCATTATTAAAAAAATGTTATGCATGTTACTACTTCCGATAATAAGTTTTCAATTGAATGTTCAAAGTTTATCGTTCTTCGTAAACTCCACAATCTTTACATGTAACAATATATGTGATTCACAGCTATAATATATAATCCCCAGATAAAATCGCCAATAGCTATTACGTACGTTTTGCAAAGGTTCATAAACTGATAGTGAACAAGTGTCTACCTTTATTGAAAGAGGCAAATAAACAACTGTATCGGCGAGTTATTCCGTTCGCCATTTGCAAAAACATGTGATCAGCTGTTTCCTGTGACGTCACAAACGGTGACCACTGTGATTGCTTCCTGTTGTTTAAAGCAACACGGTACACAAGGAAATGAGCATTGATAATAACGGGCCGATTGGTATTGTCAGGTTGTTTACACAAACATTTTCAAGTTGTGGGTGCTTAGCGATCGTGTTAGGAGTAGGGGCTTAATTCCTTTGTTTTCGAGAGATTAGTTTAATAAACTGGAAAAGCCTGTGAGTAAGTGATGGTCATTCAATGTGTTCATAGTATGATAGTTTATTTAATTCAATTGGATTAACATACAATAGTGGTGTAAAGGGGGTTATAAAAGTTGGTATATTTTTACTGACTGACGTTTTCATCATGAGTTTTAAACGAAAACGCCATGCTTACGATGCTGAATTCAAACTGCGAGTCTTCGCTCCAGCTGATATATTTTCTCACGGGTTCATAATTCTATATACACCGACTCACAAAATGGCGCTTGGTTGTTGATGGCAACATATAACGATCATTATGAGATTAAAAAAACCCACGAGAAACAGCTTCCCACATTATGAAAGTGGATGACTGGTTTGTTAAATCTTTATTAGAAATAATAATGACTTTTTCAATATAATTACAACGTTTTTCATCTTATATTTTTGAATATCTGCGAGTACCGGCACATGTCTTTCAGTCCGACTTCGCAGTGTTTTTTGTCTTTCAATTCCTGATTCGGCTTATCTGCGGGTCATATCATTTTCTTTCGTATTTCAATGGTCAAATTAACACCTCGGCTTATCTACGGGGTCGGCTTATCCGCGGTCATATACGGTACTGGAGGGCGGGTAGTGCAGTGCACAGTGTGCTGAGTGGTTAGGGGCTCACCATGTAATACTCTGGAGGGTGGGTAGCGCGGTGCACAGTGTGCTGAGTGGTTAGGGGCTCACCATGTAATATTCTGGAGGGTGGGTAGCGCGGTGCACAGTGTGCTGAGTGGTTAGGGGCTCACCATGTAATATTCTGGAGGGTGGGTAGCGCGGTGCACAGTGTGCTGAGTGGTTAGGGGCTCACCATGTAATATTCTGGAGGGTGGGTAGCGCGGTGCACAGTGTGCTGAGTGGTTAGGGGCTCACCATGTAATATTCTGGAGGGCGGGTAGTGCAGTGCACAGGGTGCTGAGTGGTTAGGGGCTCACCATGTAATACTCTGGAGGGTGGGTAGTGCAGTGCACAGGGTGCTGAGTGGTTAGGGGCTCACCTTAAATATTCTGGAGGGTGGGTAGCGCGGTGCACAGTGTGCTGAGTGGTTAGGGGCTCACCATGTAATATTCTGGGGGGAATGTGTGTGTTTTCCTGGGTCTTTTGTTAATCACAGGATATTTTCCAGTCCCTCCCTCAAACCATGCAATTCCTTTCCCTGAAAGGTGGAGCCGATCAAGTTTATTTTATTTTCACAACACATTTTCTTTCATGATATCCAGCATGTACAATGCACTTTTTTTACAAATTATGTTTCTCTCCATTTTTTACCCATTGTGATGATTCCAGCAAAGTCATAATGGTTATGAACCTCAGCAGTACCTGTGTTACTCACCAATCTTGTTGCCATGGCGGAAGCAAGGGTCCAGTAAGGAGTAGATACAACCGATTCTGTTGAGGTAGCGTTGTACTTTGTCTTTGGACAGATCTGGAATTCAAGCCATACTTGACTATGTAGTCAATGATTATGTGTCCTAAGGTTATGTATTCAATAATTATGTATTCAATGATTATGTATTCAATGATTATGTATTCAATGATTATGTATTCAATGATTATGTATTCAATAATTATGTATTCAATGATTATGTATTCCATAATTATGTATTCAATGATTATGTATTCAATGATTATGTATTCAACGATTATGTATTCAATAATTATGTATTCAACAATTATGTACGCATTAAACATGTAACGCTCCACTCATCTAAACTAAAGCATGAACATCACATTTCTTACTCATTTCAACATTTCCTTTACGTTGACGTCATATGCAGCATTTCAATTCAATAATCTTTATCACATTTCTGTCAAACATGCTGTTATATTACACCTCTTCTACTTAGCTTTTATGTTCACCATACTATTCACAATAAGAGGGCACAAGTAACCAAATTACTCCAAGGTACCATGGGTTGCCTCCCTTAGGTATCGGCAAAAGTGCATACCATCAGATACGGATATCAGACAAATCTGTAGATATATAGACAAACAACCCCAACACCCAACCCACCCCATTCAACCACTTCACCCACCCCTACTCAGCACCCCACCCACACCCCTCTCTACTCACTGATGGATCTACGGAGGAGGCTGTGGATGTAGCCAGTCTGTCTGTCACTGGGGTTCAGCCACAACATGGGGAGTCTAGCAGGCACCACACCCCACCCACACCCCTCTCTACTCACTGATGGATCTACGGAGGAGGCTGTGGATGTAGCCAGTCTGTCTGTCACTGGGGTTCAGCCACAACATGGGGAGTCTAGCAGGCACCACACCCCACCCACACCCCTCTCTACTCACTGATGGATCTACGGAGGAGGCTGTGGATGTAGCCAGTCTGTCTGTCAAAGGGGTTCAGCCACAACATGGGGAGTCTAGCAGGCAACCCACCCCACCCACACCCCTCTCTACTCACTGATGGATCTACGGAGGAGGCTGTGGATGTAGCCAGTCTGTCTGTCACTGGGGTTCAGCCACAACATGGGGAGTCCAGCCAGCACCCCACCCCACCCCACCCCCTCCACACCCACACCCCACCCACACCCCTCTCTACTCACTGATGGATCTACGGAGGAGGCTGTGGATGTAGCCAGCCTGTCTGTCACTTGGGTTCAGCCACAACATGGGGAGTCGTGTCAACTCTCGACACAGCTTCCGATCTGACACAAAAAAACAAACATGAAAGAAACAATATACCCTACCTCATCTGACAGACAACTGGATCCTCCTTGTTGCCCTGTAAGACTTATCTCAGTCACTGTCTATACTGCCTACACTTTGGATAATATTGATGTGAAATTGTGAATAAAAGTTTACCAGTGAGTGGGAGAGATACTAAGAATGAGCTTAAAACATTGTATCTATATTGGGAATTGAAATTACGTCTTTACGTGATGTAAGCCAGTGCCTAAAGACTAGAGACTAGGCCAACCTTTTACCTACCAAGTCTACTTCCAACCACCGGACCATTTAAATAATAATAATAACAACAACAAAAAAAATTGAAAAAAAATCGTATACGAGGCCAAGGGCCGAGAAGGAATGCAACAGAAAATTCTAAACTCGCCCGCCTTGATTTTTTGTCTAGTTTTAAAAGCTTCGTCTTTTCATCTATCACCATAAACATATGTGCTTTGGCCTCGTCTGCAATTTTTTTGGTTATTATTATTAGTTACATGGTCCTGTGTTTCAACATAGATCTCTTTCTGAAGGAAAGGAATATGGTGCAGATATCGACTAGCAATTAAACAAAATTACTAACATTGTCCCATGGCAGTTTAAATGTCAGCAAGGACAGACACTTAACAAAAGTTCCTGTTGGCATTTATACTGAAATATTTTCTGCATAAATTCTGAGAACTAAAAACTTCTTTTACTAATATTTAATGACATGAACAAAATATGGCGTCATTATAAGGAAAATCATACATGCCAAAGCTCCTTCAGTCTCACAATTTCAATGAAAGGAGTCAAATATGCATTTTGAGAAAAGAGCATTGTAAAACAAGGTCAAAATATAAAATATCTAAAAAACAACAGACCTTGTATTATGCATATTTTGAGCCCTACTACCAGCCACACTATCGTTCCATTTGGAATAAGAATGAGTATCGGCCAATATGGCTGTTGCATCCCCAGAATATCAAATAGCAGCTACCTTGAAATTCATATTCATTAGGGCTGGGACGGGTAACTCGGGTACCCGGGTCGGGTGGGTACTGACCCACAGGACTACCCGTACCCATGGTTTGTCACATGATATATTGTTTAATGACAAAAATTATCTAAAACTCTATGGTTACACTATAAGTCACTAATGTTTGCATTTCTTTCTGACAATGCACCCATTCCTTCTGACTTTTCATATGTTTGAATAAAGATATAACTTATAAACACATATCTAAACACGTTTTGCAAGTGATGTGGTAAAAAAATTCCCAATTGGACATCTTGTATCTCTTGAGACCTACAGTGGGTACCTGGGTAGGGTCAGGTTATAGGGGGGTGGGTACCCGGGTAGTAAATTTGGACTCGTCCCAGCCCTAATATTCATACATGTAGAAATGGCTGAGCAATAGGCAAAAATGACAGTTTCAAATTAATATGACTGCTAATGTTTATGAGAATTCTCTGGGCAGATTTTAGCGACACCATATCTGGGATCAATCATGTAACGTTTCAGCTTCATAGTCTCAAGAGGTCATGTTGAAAATGTGAAATGTAACAACAGACAGACACAAAATAGATTCACTTGTCTTGCAGTCATGTGAGCTAGAGATTACAGCGTCCATTACATACTGATGCATGAGAACTTGGGGTGAAACGATACATCGGTGCACCAGTGCATCGTGAGTTTTCATACATGTCACGCTTTGTTCTGTATCGATACAAGATGATACACTTGATGAAACAGATTACTGACTACTTGTTTAATGACCCCCAGAGTTTTTGTCAGTCAAATATTGCAAGAGGTGTTGTAATTAGAGTTTCAAGTTCACAAATAAAACTACCTGCTACAAACATGTGTCTACAGCTACCTTTTCCTTTTGAATATGCTCTGAAAATTAAAATTCATGAAGTTTCCATTTGATTTGACATCAATATGCATTTTGCGATACCTATCGTATCATGACCAATGTATCGTGACATGTATCTACTCTTAAAACATATTATTCAAGAAGTTTCCACGTGATTTGAACTAAATATGCGTATCGTGATACCTATCGTATCCTGACTTATGTATTGTGATACGTACCTTATCATGACCTTGCTGCATTGTTTCAACCCTAACGTGAAACATACCTATCCCTAACGTGAAACATACCTACCCCCAACGTGAAACATACCGGTACCTATTAGCCACACCGAGTATTTTCTTACTCTAAGCATTTTCTGTGTTGCAATATCCATGGAGGCTGATATCATCAACACAGCGACATATGCTTTATGTTCTTCTATCATCAGTAAATACTAGGGATGTTACGATTCACTCGCGTATTGTGTGAATCGAACTGCATCCATTCATGAATTGAATTTGTTATTCGTGGCCACTAGAATCGAAAAAATTTATGAATATGCAATCATGTGCATTTACATACCCTGTACCTAAAAATATCCATATTATATGCATAGACTTCTTCAAAGACAACACTCTTATTATATTTGATTTGACAGTATTGTGGTCACTGGTCATTGTCACATTTGAGCAGATACTAGTACCTGGATAAGTGCAGTATATAAATGTATAATATATTAATAATTAACAAACCATGTCAATTACTTTATGTTGTTATTTCTCACTGAATATAACAAATAATAAATCAACTGCTGACTTGTTATTGTGTTTGTGATTTAGTATTCGTATTTGTTACCCTATATTCGTTATAATCGTATAAATCGTAATTGCCTCATAGTGTATTCATTGCAGCCCTAGTAAATCAATACAGCCAAATAAAATTTGGAGATCAGGGAAAATAGAATAGAATAGAGATTATTAGACGTATTAATCACCATTTCTTATGATAAAATATCATGTACTTTTTCCTATTTCAATTAATTGTAAAAGAGTGTGAGTATTGTTTTACGCCGCTTTTAGCAATATTCCAACAATATCACAGCGGGGGACCCGGGTTTGATTCCACACATTGGACCCATGTGGGGAATTGAACCCGGGTCTTCGGCGTGACGAACGAAGTCGCTTTAACCACTAGGCTACCGCACCGCCCCTTGTAAAAGAGTGTAAACCAAAATATTCATTCATTCTTCTTCTAATTTCAGTGTTTTTCTGTCAGTCATTCTTTTAAACCAGCTAATAAGAACATAAGGCCTATCTGCAAAACCAAGATGGAGGTACTCACCATTTTTAAATCCAATGAAATTCACAGTCTGTAACTTGGCGTGAGGTTTAATGTTTAAGAGTCCCATGATAACACTGTCGACCAGTGACATGCTGCCTTGACCTTCCACAGGTCGGGTCAAGTAGCCTGACCTCAGTATGTCTTCCTGGGGAACGATACTCTGAATGTCTAGCACCTTATGAGGCCATGTGGAAACAAAAAATGTGATGGCTTGTAGTTCCCTCTGGAAAATGGCTTCACTCAGCAGTGCAGGGTAGATATCGTGGGGAAGTTCGTGATATTTGAATTTCTGCATCCTTGCTGGGTTGATAACCAGTCTGTGCATACACAACTGTTTGAGATGTCTGGAAAGAGTGAGTGAGTGGATCGAGTAACAATGCATTGGCAATATTGAAGTTCAGCTTAAAGGGAGGTAATTGGCAGTCCTTACAAAACTGATTCAAATAAACAAAAGTGACAGTTAGTTTGTTTGTTTGTTTGTTTAACGTCACACTCAGCAATATTGCAGCTATATGACGGCGTCTGTAAATAATCGAGTCTGGACAGACAATCCAGTGATTGACATTATGAGCATCGATCCATGCAATTGGGATACGATGACATGCATCAACCAAGTCAGCGAGGCTGACCACCCAATCCCTTTACTCACCTCTTACGACAAGCATAGTCACCTTTTACAGCAAGCATGGGTTGCTGATGACCTATTCCAGATCTACACGGGTCCCAAAATGACAAAACCCTTTCATATTCATAAGAATAATCCCAGCAGGAGTGAATGAGGGAGGGAATAATCCCAGGAGGTGTGAGTGAGTGAGGGAGGGAAAAATCCCAGCAGGAGTTAGTGAGTGAGGGAATAATCCCTGCAGGAGTGAATGAGGGAGGGAATAATCCCAGGAGGTGTGAGTGAGTGAGGGAGAAATCCTAGCAGGAGTGAGTGAGTGAGGGAATAATCCCTGCAGGAGTGAATGAGGGAATAATCCCAGCAGGAGTGAGTGAGTGAGGGAGGGAATAATCCAGCAGGAGTGAATGAGGGAGGGAATAATCCCAGGAGGTGTGAATGAGTGAGTGAGGGAATATCCACGCAGGAGTAAGTGAGGGAATAATCCCAACAGGAGTGAGTGAGTGAGTGAGGGAATAATCCCAGTAGGAGTGAATGAGGGAGGGAATAATCCCAGGAGGAGTGAGTGAGAGAGGGAATAATCCCAGCAGGAGTGAATGAGGGAGGGAATAATCCCAGCAGGAGTGAATGAGGGAGGGAATAATCCCAGGAGGAGTGAGTGAGAGAGGGAATAATCCAAGCAGGAGTGAATGAGAGAGGGAATAATCCCAGCAGGAGTGAGTGAGGGAGGGAATAATCCCAGCAGGAGTGAGTGAGAGAGGGAATAATCACAGCAGGAGTGAGTGAGGGAATAATCCCAGCAGGAGTGAATTAGGGAATAATCCCAGTAGGAGTGAGTGAGAGAGGGAATAATCCCAGCAGGAGTGAGTGAGGGAATAATCCCAATAGGAGTGAGTGAGTGAGGGAGGGAATAATCCCAGCAGGAGTGAGTGAGGGAATAATCTCAGCAGGAGTGAGTGAGAGAGGGAATAATCCCAGTAGGAGTGAGTGAGGGAATAATCCCAGCAGGAGTGAGTGAGGGAATAATCTCAGCAGGAGTGAGTGAGAGAGGGAATAATCCCAGCAGGAGTGAGTGAGGGAATAATCTCAGCATGAGTGAGTGAGAGAGGGAATAATTCCAGCAGGAGTGAGTGAGGGAGGGAATAATCCCAGTAGGAGTGAGTGAGGGAATTATCCCAGCAGGAGTGAGTGAGGGAATAATCTCAGCAGGAGTGAGTGAGAGAGGGAATAATCCCGGCAGGAGTGAGTGAGTGAGGGAATACTCCCAGGAGGAGTGAGTGAGTGAGGGAATAATCCCAGCAGGAGTGAGTGAGGGAGGGAATAATCCCAGCAGGAGTGAGTGGGGGGGGGGGGGGGGAATAATCCCAGCAGGAGTGAATGAGGGAGGGAATAATCCCAGGAGGTGTGAGTCAGTGAGGGAGGGAATATCCACGCAGGAGAAAGTGAGGGAATAATCCCAGCAGGAGTGAGTGAGTGAGTGAGGGAATAATCCCAGCAGGAGTGAATGAGGGAGGGAATAATCCAAGGAGGAGTGAGTGAGAGAGGGAATAATCCCAGCAGGAGTGAGTGAGGGAATAATCCCAGCAGGAATGAGTGAGTGAGGGAGGGAATAATCCCAGCAGGAGTGAGTGAGTGAGGGAATAATCCCTGCAGGAGTGAATGAGGGAATAATCCCAGCAGGAGTGAGTGAGTGAGGGAGGGAATAATCCCAGCAGGAGTGAGTGAGGGAATAATCCCAGCATGAGTGAGTGAGTGAGGGAATAATCACAGCAGGAGTGAGTGAATGAGGGAATACTCCCAGGAGGAGTGAGTGAGTGAGTGAGGAAATAATCCCAGTAGGAGTGAATGAGGGAATAATCCCAGCATGAGTGAGTGAGTGAATGAGTGAGTGAATAATCCCAGCAGGAGTGAGTTAGTGAGGGAATAATCCCAGGAGGAGTGAGTGAGTGAGGGAATTATCCCGGCAGGAGTGAGTGAGGGAATAATCCTAGCATGATTGAGTGAGTGAGGGAATACTCCCAGGAGGAGTGAGTGAGTGAGTGAGGTAGGGAATAATCCCAGCAGGAGTGAGTGAGTGAGGGAATAATCCTAGCAGGAGTGAGTGAGTGAGTGAGTATGGTTTTAAGTAGTATTCTAGCAGCATCATGGCAGGGGTCACCAGAAATGTGCTTTATACATTGTAACCATGAGGGGAATTGATCCCAGATCATCGGTATGACAAGCAACCATTTTAAGCACTAGGCTACAGCAGAATCTGTTTGAGTACCTCGGAGAACAGATGAACTCGCCATTGCCGTCCTTGTTGCAGGTCAGATGACCTTCAGGATCACGTGACAGGTGATACACAAAGTGCGCCTCCGTCATGTGCAGCGGGTGGCGGTACAGGACATCGTCACGGTTAAAGTTCTTCCTTTTGTAGTCAACATCTTCCATTACATCTGTCAGAGACATCGTCTGGAACATAAAGAGTTAAGATGAACATTTTCCATTACATCTGTTAGCATGGTTAGAGACATCGTCTGGAACATAAAGAGTTAAGATGAATATTTTCCATTACATCTGTCAGAGACATCGTCTGGAACATAAAGAGTTAAGATGAATATTTTCCATTACATCTGTTAGCATGGTCAGAGACATCGTCTGGAACATAGAGAGTTCAGATGAATATTTTCCATTACATCTGTCAGAGACATCGTCTGGAACATAAAGAGTTAAGATGAATATTTTCCATTACATCTGTCAGAGACATCGTCTGGAACATAAAGAGTTAAGATGAATATTTTCCATTACATCTGTCAGAGACATCGTCTAAAACATAAAGAGTTAAGATGAACATCTTCCATTACATCTCTCAGAGACATCGTCTGGAACATAAAGAGTTAAGATGAATATCTTCCATTACATCTGTCAGAGGAACATAAAGGGTTAACACAAAAATCTTCAATAACATCTGTGAGAGACATCGTCTGTCTCCAACATACGTTTGTTTGTTGTTTAACGCCGCACTCCAGCAATATTCCAGTGGCAAGACAAGTCAGTGATTGACATCATGAGCATCGATCCATGCAATTGGACTGCTATCATAACACGCATGTCTTGCTGGGGACCCATATTCACCGGGAATCCCCACAGTAGTCTGTCTCCCAGATTAAAAATATAATCCCATAAATTAAAATGGGAACCCAACTCACAAAAGTCGAGAATATTTGGCAAATTTACATTGCCTCAGCTCTTGGCATGTAAACAGAAATGAAGGTTGACATTGACAAGAATACAGAAATTCCAACAAATTAGAGTCTAGCAGATTTGTTTAGTCTCTGAAAATAACCATTGTTCTGGGCTCCATTTTGGATTTTATTTTGTAGATATATATGTTTAAATAAAATAACTTTATTTCTGGGACTAACCATGGCAGACTGCATGCCAAACTTCATTACAATTCAACAAAATATGGACCGCCTCCGTGGTCTAGTGGTAGAGCGTCCGCCCGGAGAGCGGAAGGTCCGGGGTTCGATCCCCAGCCGTGTCATACCAAAAGACGTTAAAAGATGGTACTTGTTGTTACCCTGTCTGGCGCTCGGCATTAAGGGGCTAAAACAAGGACTGGTCGGCTCGGAGTCAGTATACTGTGTCTGAGTAGGGTATTCATGTTAAACTGCGGCATGGTATCTCAGTGAGCTAGCACTATAAATCGGCATCAGTCCGGACTAGTACAAGAAGCCACTAGTACAAGAAGCCACACACACACACACACACACACACACACACGTGCATGCATGTCGCTATATAAGTGCAATAATCTTGGACGTGACGTTAAACCCAATTTCACCTCACCTCACCTCACCTCAACAAAATATGCAGTGGGAAATGTCATGTAAATGTTGGCTCCATTGGTCCAGTGGTGTCTGAACAGAATTTTTCATATTTTTCAATACGGCTGCTGGCCAGGTGAGCTTAATACACCAAACTTGCAAGTACCAATTGGTCTGAACAGTACCTGCACCAGACATACCCTAACATTTCCCAGCAAGCTCAGATGTTGACAAGTCAATCAACAAGTCAATAAACTTGTCAATCCAAATATTTTGCTATGCCTGCTTGAGATCAGACTCAGGCCAGACAGGGGCACAGCAATCGCCATTCAACTTGTCAAATAACTTTATTTCTGGGACTAAATGCTAGTCTATCCCCATATGTGTACAAAGGGTTAATATGAGCATCTTCAAATAAATCTTTATATAAGAGGAACATAAGGGGTTAATATGAACATCTGCCATTACATATGTCAATAAAAAAACAAAAAACAAACAAATCATATCCGTCAAAAGAACATAAAACTATCAATAATTCTTGTATTATTCTCTTATTATCAAATTATAAAATTAAATCTTACATTGACAAAGATTGGTAAGGTCAATGTAACCGATGTCAATGTTACCATGTTCCTGGTACAGAGAAAACAGGAGAACAGTTTGAATAAATAAACTATAAATTCCCGAATCCTCAGCTTCAGTTAATCTGTTGAGGCAATGAGTCCCACAAATTACCTTACTTTTGTTTCACTAAAAAAGAGAGAAGTCAAAACACAACAGTTAAACCACGGACTTGTATAGGTCCGTGGTTAAACCTTCTGTTACAAACACACATCTTAAAAAAACCAAATGATTTTACCAAAATATAACTAAGTGTTTTCCTCACAACTATTCACAAACAATAGAATTCCTCAGCAACCAAAATACCATACAGTTAACATGAGACAACAAATTAGGTGTAAAAACATAACCACCTTTGTTTACCTGAACGGCCCGACCACAAACGTCACTCATAACTAACCTAATTTCCTTTGTCTAATGTGATTAAACCATGCCAGTACATTCTCATTATCTATCTTGGCATCGTATGATTATGCTACAAATTTCAAGCGAGACAACTTCGTTACAGGAGATTTAGAGTCATTGGCTTGCCACATGTGGAAAGAATAATGTGAGATGGGGCCCTCTTAAGGTTGATAATGTATTTCATCATAAAACATTTGCTTATTTTTTAATTGTTTTATTTTATTTTTTCCCAGGTAATAATGCCACCCTGGTTATAATGCCACCCTGATTGTAATGCCATCCTGGTAAAAGTGCCAATGCCAATGTTTTTCAGAACAAACGTTCCAGTTCCCTTGTTATACTGCCCACTTTTTTATATTTTGACAAAAAATGGGCAATGTAGTTCATCTTTGGAGATAATTCCCTCTTTCAAATTAACAAACTAATTGCATTGATCACATTTTCACAGCTAATCCTCATGCAGAGAATCACTTATTTCCCGACCCTACCCGGTTACCTGCTATAGGTCTCAAGAGATGTGTACAAGATGTCCGATTAGGAATAGTTTGACCGTAGCCGTGGCAAAATGTACTTAGCTACACATATAAAACGATCTGGACATGCGAACGCTGAATTTGACTGAAGTTCATCTTTATTGAAACATATAAAGTCATTTAACAATATATCACATGACTAACCACGGGTCCGGGTAGTCCTGTGGGTACCCGGGTCCTACTCAGTACCCACCCGACCCGAGTACCCCAGTTACCTGTCCCAGCCCTAGTGGCATCATAACCATGGCAGACTGCATGCCAAACTTCATTACATTTCTAGTGGTAGAGCGTCCGCCTGGAGAGCACCTCCGTGGTCTAGTGGTAGAGCGTCCGCCCGGAGAGCACCTCCATGGTCTAGTGGTAGAGCGTCCGCCCAGAGAGCGGAAGGTCCGGGGTTAGATCCCCGGCCGTGTCATACCAAAAGATGTTAAAAGATGGTACTTGTTGTTACCCTGTCTGGCGATCAGCATTAAGGGACTAAAACAAGGACTGGTCGGCTCGGAGTCAGTATACTGTGTCTGAGTGGGGTATTCATGTTAAACTGCGGCATGGTATCTCAGTGGGCTAGCACTATAAATCGGCATCAGTCTGCACTAGTACAAGCAGCCACACACACACACGTGCATGCACGTCGCTATATAAGTGCAATAATCTTGGACGTGATGTTATACCCAATTTCACCTCACCTCACCTCAACAAAATATGCAGTGGGAAATGTCATGTAAATGTTGGCTCCATTTGTCCAGTGGTGTCTGAACAGAATTTTTTCATATTTTTCAATATGGCTGCTGGCCAGGTGAACTTAATACACCAAACTTGCAAGTACCAATTGGTCTGAACAGTACCTGCACCAGACATACCCTAACATTTCCCAGCAAGCTCAGATGTTGACAAGTCAATCAACAAGTCAATAAACTCGTCAATCCAAATATTTTGCTATGCCTGCTTGAGATCAGACTCAAGCCAGACAGGGGCACAGCAATCGCCATTCAACTTGTCAAGAGTGGTCATAAAAATCCCTCCAGTTGAGATCGTCCAACCCGTGCGGGGCCTCTCACTGGGAGTTGGCCTGGAGGTTAGTCAGGGCCTATGGCTGAGAGCCAGGTGCCTACAAGCACAGCCAATAGTTTGTAAACAAAGACTTCCCTAAGTTGTGATAGCCTCATCACACACTGGGCAACTTTAGCTGATTAAAACTGAAGACGATCATCATGGCTTGTAACATGGATAGCATTGAAGTAAATACATGGAGGTCCAGATAGCTACTTCGTAGTAACAGGCGTGAACCAGGGTAAAACATGTTGCAACGTTTCCACTACATCTGGGAGAGTCGATAATCTTTGTTCACACATCTCTCAAAGATGGTGGTGGCATTAAACTGATAATAAGATTGTCTGTGACTGTAGTGTTAGTCATACAAATATATCAAATACAGCCCATGCAAGTCTATAATGTTTAGCAAGTCTTGATTACTGCAGTATCTGAAAAAGAAGAATGTCTCTGGGCTCCTTTTTATTATATTAGATAAATATAATTTAACAACTGTTTTTTCTGTAAAATATGTTCATTTCAGAGACCATATGGTGGTCTAGTGGGGGTATCAAACTGATAATATGATTGTCTGTGACTGAAGTGTGTACTTTTGACTAATATTTCAAATTATGAGAACAAAATGATGATGATGATGATGATGATGATGATGATGATGATGATTATAATGTTGATCACTGTCATGATGATGGTGATTGAGATGATGATAGTGATGATGTTTTTTTGTTTGTTTTATGTTTAATGTTACACTCAGCAATATGCTAGCTATATGGCGGCAGTCTGTAAATTATCAAGACTGGACCAGACAATCCAGTGATTGACATCATGAGCATCGATCCATGCAATTGAGATACAATCAACCAAGTCAACGAACCTGACCACCCGATCCCGTGTTGACAACTGTGAAGCTGCTGATGCTGATGAAGATGCCAACATGTATTTAGTTAGTGCATACACCTTGACTACAGCAGTGCTGTAAATCAGATAGAAGCACCATTTGACTCTGGGACTTATCTCAGCAAGGTCTCCCAGG